TAACAAACTTTTTGTTTTAATATTATATATATCACTAATTAAGTTTTTATTAATTACAACACCAATAAACAAAACTAAAAAGCATCAGATATCATTACTCATTTGAAGAAAAAAATTATTTCAATAAACGACGAGGTCAGTTAATTGAAATAATGTCTTTTTTTTATTTTCAATATGAATAATGATGTATCTGGAAAATAATTAAAAGGATTACTTTCTCAAACAAAAAATCCTTGCGCGATTTCAATCGAACTAATGATTTGTTTTTTCATTCTAAATCACATAACAACATTTTAAATGAATAAAAGTATAAAACTTACTTTGATTTGTTTTGAATTGAGTATCTCTCATCAGTGTTTATAAACTATGTCATTAATATATGTGTACGCTTAAAGTTGAATATAGAAGTTATAGCTCAAGAGCTAAAAACGGCCCAGAATAACAAATTGTAATATCACATATCATCTCAATTAAAAAGTACATGTCACAGCACCATAATTTAAATATATACTTAATCATATATGTATATATATATATATACATATATATAATTTATTATAAATGGTGTTGTCAAATGTATAGTATCATTACTAATTAAAAAACAAAACATAAATGCTTAAATACAGAAATCGTTGAGCGAAAAATGTAAATATATTTACATATGTATATGATATATAAAAATTAAATATTTATGTTTAATTATATATTACTTTATATCACATACTTAAATAGAACATATAGTGTGATAAATTTATATAAATAGTGTAAAGTACTAAAGAGATAAAATGTTGCATAATTTATATCAATAATAAAATAATAATAAAAATAAATAACAACAAAAAATAACTAATAATTAAAAATAATATTTTTTGTATTTTTAATATATATATAACTAATTTTAAAAAGGCTTATCGATGGGAGAAATTTTTTATATATAATTAAAATTACGTATTAAAAATAATATATGTAAAAAATAAATTATAAATATAAAAAAAACATAAAATTTAAGATAAATAAAATTTGAAATAAATAAAATATAAAATAAATAAAATATAAAATAAATAAAATATAAAATAAATAAAATATAAGATAAATAAAATATAAAATAAATAAAACAGAAAATTAATAAAATGTAAAATAAAAAGAATTTGAAATAAATAATATTTAAAATAAATTAAATTAAAATAAATAAAATATAAAATAAATAAAATATAAAATAAATAAAATATAATATGAATAAAATTTAAAATAAATAGTAAATAAGTATTAGTTTAATATTTTTATTATTTATTTTATAAGAAAATATTGTTATTTAATAAATTATTATTTAAAAATAATAAATAAACGAATGCAATTATTTTTTGCTGGTATTCAGTTTGTTTCCAAATAATTGTTCATTAATATTTAAATAAACAAAAAATTTTTTTAATTTTAACCAAAATAAAATCATGAATTTATTTATATAAATAGTTTGGTATATTTTATAGATCATTTTTAGAGTTATGACATTTTTCCAAATTTTGTTTGATAATAATTTTAAAAAATGTTTAAAGTACGACAAAAAACAAAATTGTTATAAATTATTTATTCACAATTTATTATTTAAATTTTTCAGAACACAAATTGGTTTTTTGACTTTAAATACTATATAATTAAATTTATAAAAATTAATTCCTTTTGAATTATTATTTTTATATGCATTCTAAATTATAGAATTATTCAAGCTATATTTATAATACATATTAACGTGCCTGGATTCACAAGAAATCCCTATGCAAAGTCTTTATTGTAAAGATTTATAATTAGCGTCTAAATTACCAACATTTAGACAAATGATTAATATTAAATCGATTCACCTTTTTAAAAATATACAATATATGGTTTATATATTCTCCAACGTTTCCTCTGCTAGACTACAAACGTTATATATATAACGTATTATATAATATTGTATAATATACAGTTTTAGTTTTGCAATTTAGGCACGAAAATTATTTAGAATTCAATAACAAAAGTTTTTAAAAATAAAATTGTATATTTAAGTAACAAATAAAACCCATAGACGGTCTACGAGGAGTCTGTCGCAGGCTCAATCCTAAATTCAAACATAACCTTTTCTATATTAAAGGTAGGTAGCACAAAGCACTACTTAAAAGAGTTTCTAAGACGAATAAATATATATTTAAATTATTAAGACTCTAACTTTATATATATATATTATATACAATATACAATAGTAAGATATATCGATTTTTTCGGTTTATCGATAATATTACATACATATACATACATCGATATATATGAATACATATTTTCAAAATACAAAAAACTAAAATAATATTATAAAATAAAATTAAAAAATTATTGCAAAAGTAATAACTTTAGTAAAAATTTAATACATTTAACTTTAATAATTATTTTTATTGTACAAAATAAACTAAACTTTTGTTTATTTTATTTAATTTATAATAAATTATAATTTTATATAACGCATAAAAAAATATTTAAATATATTTTATAGATTAAAATAAAATATTTATTATATATTCGATATAATAATAATTAAAAAAAAAAATATTTTGTATTATGCAACATTTTATTATAACTTTTGTGTTGTTGCTGCACTTTTTTATTATTTTATTTATATATTAAATAAATTATTTAATATTTTCTTAGATATATTTATTCATAACAAAAAGCTACTAAATAATAAATTACATATCAAAAAAACTGTTTATAACAGAATTTAATTTTGTTGTTGGGTCACTTACTGTAGTGTTCTGTACTGAAATTAAGTATGTATATATAGTATATTTAAAGTATATAGTATATACTACATGTATAATAAACTATACATAAATTATATATTGTATTTCGAATTATCGTAAATTAATAAAGATTTAGTAAAAAGATATCTAAGTCTGCTTATTTTGCTTCGATAGGTGATACTGACACTTTTTTAAGGTCAATACATTTTTTTGAAAAATAAAGATTAATGAGAATTTATTGTAGAACAGTAACTATATTACCTTTTTAACAAGCTATGCCAATCTTTCTATAAAATGTCTGTATCTGCTTTTACCATCAACAACCCCTTTAAGCTCTTATAAATATTTTACTCAAAGGGATGAAAATTAATTGGCACCAGTGGAAAATATTTCTGAGTAAATTTTGATATGAATCTTTGCGTACAATTTTTTTTTAAAATAAATTATAAAAAAGTTAACTACTTTTAAGAGAAGTGAGGTAAAATTTTAATTTTACTAAAGAATTAAAATATTTTTTATTAAAATGTGGATTTACACTATATTTGTTTTGATATAAAAAAAAAAATTTTTTTTTATTTTAAATATTTTTTTTTTTATTAGAATAATTTTCATGAACTATTTTTAATATTTAAATTGCAATGTTATTAAACATATATATATATATATATGGATATATAAATATGTTGTATTTTAAATCAATAAACACTTGATGGCACTGAACACCACTCATGAGTATAAAAGTCTAGCCAGAATGCTTTTATGGATTTGTAAACACATTTCGTCCTCTTGTCAAACATTTAATATAAAAAACAACAAAGGCAACAAAATATATGGGCAAAAAATAAAGCGACATAAAAATAGAAACAAAATGTTGCATATACTATATATATATATAAATATATATATATATAGTGTATATGAAGTAGGAAGAAAAAGCCTAAAGAAAAAAGTCTGGAGTTTAAAATTGAAGTGAAAGAAGTCAACATACCTAGACTTTTAAAATGAAAATTCAAGCGAGCCAGTCAAAAGCCTCTGTTTACCAGTACGTGGTACGTAGGTACGTGTGCCAGCCTAAAAACAACAGCCCCACAACTTCTATAACAAATATGTAACCATTCATAAATGCAACGGTAACAACGACGACGACATCACCACCAACAAATGATGACTACAACAAAGTCAGCCCACAAACACGAAAGTCATTAACTGCAACAACAAAAATATGAAAAAGAAAACAAAACAAAAAAAAAAAAAATTAAAAAGTTTGTTAGTTAAGTGCAATGGCAACCTATGAATTTGTTGTCAGGAGCAGTTTGAGGGTGGCACACTGCTGCCTCTGCTGCCTCTGTTGCAGCTGACGACGACAAGTGTGGAGATGTTGACAACCCGACGACTAAAGATGTTGGTATGCGGATATATGAATGAATAATTATACACGGAAATAAATATGCTGGCATCAGATTTTCACCAAAGGTACGGCGAAGAAGGCCGTTAAAAATGTTCAATATTCATAAACTAAAAGAGTTATGACCATTAAAGGGATCAAAAATTCTAAAGAAAACTCAATCACTAATAATAGTAGTAAACTAAGGTTAGGAGTACTAACTTGAAAATATAAATATAATTAAAGATTAAACATAATTAAATTGATTCATACACGAATTAAATTAAATTATAAAAACTTCTTTCTATACGCGCATTTTTTAAACTTACCAAAGTTTACTAATAAATTTCCAAAGGTGTATGTATAAATCTTAGTCAAAGAGAATATACATTATAAATTTTCACACACAACCTTCAAACCAGACGCAATTACAACTTCAGACAATGCGTGTCTTCAGCTGAAAATAACTTCAGCTCTGATGATGTGACGTTATGCCTGTCATTGTAGCCCCTAAAGTGTTCATTCATAATTTTTCACAAACTTAAAAAAACATGATGTGTTGAAATAAAAATAAAAATGCATGAGCAGACAGTGGCGGGCTTAATTTGAATATAAATTAAATAATTGTTACTAATTAAATGAAATTAAATTAAAACTTTGCAATTAAATAATTAAGAAATTGTTTAAATCGAGTTAAAATTTAGAAAAGGTATAGATGGTTTTTTTTTATAAGTAACAGCAACAACAACAACTTATATATAGTGTCTTATAAATGTTTATATGCATTTACACTATTTATATATACATAATGTGTAATTATATTAATTAATTAATATTGTTTAACAAACCTTTTGCGATTAAAGAAATTGCCTTGCAGAAAATTACGCGAATTCAGTTCTTCTGCCTGTAAACATAATAAATTTAATGATTGATAAATTATTAATTATAATAATAATTATATATTTAATAAAATTTAGAGCGAAGGATCTAGTAGTCCAGTTCCTTTAAAATTGATTTTAATGTTAACTCACAAATAAATAAAATTTAGTTTAACCGGGCTTAAAGTTAGTTTTATAACACTTTAATTTAAACTAAATAAATAATTAAATAATTAATATTTAACACAGTAATAATCATTAATAATTAGATCATTTATTATTCAATAAAATTTTATTTAACCGGGCTTAAGGTCCGTTGTTTAACAATTCAATTTTAAATAAATAAATAATTAATAATGAACACAATAATAATTATTAATATTATAAATAATTTATTATTTGATAAAATTAAAATTATTCGGAATTAAGATCGATTATTTAACACTTTAATCTTATTATTAATAATAATAATTTTAAATTATTATTTATTAAATAAGATCGGTTAAGCAACCGTCCTTAAACCCGGACTTAAGGTGGATTATTTAACATTTAAATTGTTATTTAAATAAGTTTTTGTTAAAATATTTTATATAAATTTAAAAAAAAACCAAAAGTTTACAATTATTTTGACTATTTCGTAGACCATGTTCAGTGTACATGCAATACGATTCTTAAATAATCGGCAGTAAACCCGGTTAAATAAATTTTTTTCGAAGTATAAGTGAAAAATATAAATTAATTATTTTCATTTTATTAAATACTATTTTATATTTTTTAATAAACTATTAATTTAATATTCAATACATATATAAGAAGTATATAAAAAATTGTTTAAAGGTTTGAAATCATTTAAACCAATCTTTTAAGAGAGTATATATAACACATTTATTCTATAAAAAACAAATTTTTGTGTTTATACATAAAAACTGTTTTTGAACTTTTTACCCTTAATGTTTAAACTTGCAAAGACACCATCCATCTATAGTATCGATTCTGAGCAAGATGGGTACGATTTATTATTGCACATGGTAGGGATCATTATCATCATAGGAGTCATAGAAGGTCATAGGAGTCAGAGTTCCAGATCATAGAAACACAAAGGAATGAAAAAGCAGACAGTTTAACCTATCTTGACCCTTCTATACTGTTCCTAGGGGTATCGGTATGATTATTTAGAGAAGGTAAAGGGAGGCACCTACCTGTACTTTTTGCAATTTGCTCACAACATATAAAAATTCCAGGGAAATTATTTACAGAAATATAGACACATACTGGTATCCACTTACTGGATACTGGTGTATGAAATCTGCCTTCTATTCAACATTTGTTGTAGAAGTTGTGGAAACTTGGACGAACTGAGAAGTTGACAGCTTTGTGGAACAGAAGGAACGAAGTTTTAGGGTACTAGTTTTTTAAAAAACTGTCCGACTGCTCACCAGTATGAAGAAAATATCTCTTAAACCACATAAACTCTACTGTATGGATCCAGTCTATCTATAGAAGTTTCTTACAAGGAATGTGGTATTAAAACGGCGAATAATTTCTTATTGTGTAAGGCAGAAGGGTATTCGCGGATTAGTCACTGCAACTAACCAACCCAGGAGCATATATATAATAATTTAATTACATATTTATTTAATATCTTTGCAGAAGCAATAGTTTTTAATTATAACAATGTATTTCTATTTTCTAAGAATTATTATTCGGTGTACATATTTTATACTCAAAGATTACGCAAATCGTATCTGTCAGTCACGTATAAATAATTTTATTTAAAATGTTAGCAATAAAAATAAAATAATTGTTGCCGGATATGAATTGCTTAATGCAATAATAAACTCAAATAAAACAAAATCAAAATCAAAATTTGCAGAAATTAAATAAAAGCATAACTTTTATTCGATATAAAATTTCTAAATGTGCAATTTTATAAAAGTACAACACAGAGAACATGGTAAAGAAATTACCTTATCGCAATTAGATAAATAAAAACACAAATGAAATGTTCTCAAAATGAAATGTGTGAGTCATTGGCATTTAAAATACCGACACCAAATTACTCAAATCAGATAAAGAGAGCTTGAAATATTTACCAAAAATTCTAGTATGCAAATTATGACAAAATAACAAAAGAAATTTTATTTTTTTAAATATCTGCATTTAAAAAAAAATTTTTTTTATAGTTTAAATACTCTCACACTCAACGATACAGAAATAAACTTACATTTTGTGTTTGTTGATGGTGCTGTGAGGGACTCGTTGAGAGTGAGTCTGCTCCACCACTGTTATTACCGCCAGTGCTTCCACCACTATGTCCACTGTTTTGATACTGTTGGAACAAACCTTCAATGCATTCATCACCAGCATTAAAGCGAACTGTTATTGGAACGCTACTAGTTGTTTTGGTATTGCCACTGTTGGAAGCTGTAGCTGAATTATTGCCACCTACAATAAAATAAAGTTGAATTAAAATTTTCTTACTAATATAATATTAAATTAATATTAATTATTAATTAATATAATACAATAAAGTGACATCATTATTTAAAATGGTCGAAGGCCCCGAAGGCCATGACCTTTAATTAGAATAATGGTTTATTGATAACATATCGTATCGGTTAAATTTATAAATTTTTAAATAATATATACATTATATTAATCATATCATAATAATATTATGATTTATTATAATATAAATTTATATTCCTAAATGCTGTTAATTACTTCTTTTGTTCTTATCAGACAAAAATGAAAATAACTGCGAAATCAGAGAATGACTGCCATATACCATAAGTCAAACTTGTGGAGTTCTAATGCAATTCAAATTGAAAAAAATGCCATAAAAGAACAAATACGATTCTAAATTTAATAAATAATTCTTTGATAGGTATACAAACTAATAGATTGTATGCCACTACCAGAGAGAAGGTTAAGAGCATGAAAGAAGAGATAAAATATTTATTGGGGCAGTATCAGATTTTTTCAGACAATAAATTACACCTCCAAAGATTTCTGCGTTGCGGAATTGGTAGATATGGATATAGTTAACTTAATAAGACTTGTGAGCTATTGAAACCAGATGATGTACCAGAGGTGGCTGATGAAGTTAGATAGATTCCCCAAAAGAGTTGAGTTGAGTATTTTGTTTCAAAACAAACCATCATTAATATTTTATAAGTTTGAGTTAGACAGAAGAATGCAATAGAAAATAAAAGTTCTATGATATTTCACTGTTTGGGGCATCATTTGCATATTGAAAAAATAATGGTATCAATTCGATTGGATGAGAAAAGGGGAAATACAAATTTTATAAAAGAAAATTACTATTTTAAAATAATAAATAGGGTATATCATTTATAATTACATTAACAGTCAGAAATAATTTCTTACTGCAAGAACTAAAAAAAAAAATTATTTGGAAGAAATAGGTTCATTTGCAATAATTATTAAAATACAATAATAGTTTAAATATAATAGTATTATATATTACTTTAACAATCACAGAGACATAAAACATTCATATCATACAGACAGAAACTAGCAGATAGATTTCACTATATTATGTATATATTAAAAGGCATTAATAGTGACTAAGGGGCTTCCATGTTAAAATATTATTGCAACACAATAATATATATGCATTTAAATATCCGTTTCTGTTTCAGATTAAGCTTATGAGTCTATAGCAAAACGCTTGTACTTTTTTATGGTAATTTTGTTTGGTTGATTCATTGAATAGAAAATATAAAAAATAAATAAGATATCGAAGAACTTTCAAATATTTTATTGATTGGATCAGTATTATAAAAAATTAAATATGCGCTTTAATATAGAATATGAATATGAAGTATAGCTATTAATTCAATGCAGGTTCAATGTTCGAATATCACTGTATTTGTAAGGTATATTGCAAACAACGAACAAGCTGATTCGATGCGGAGAAGGATTTTCGCAATGGACGTCAATAAAGCCGTTACATCAATACAAACTCCGATGCATGAACTATTAGGGAACATAAATGGATTCACAACTACAAGAACGAATAACTTGTGGGCAGATAGTGAGTCGCTAGACTTCTGTGACCTAGGTTAGAAATTACAACGACAGAAATTATTTTGTGTAATAACAACCTATCAGTTTCTGTTTGTGTTGGTATACTTACTCTATTATTTTGCACTGATTATTTAATGTTGGCACATTCGGACAAGAGAAGTTATCTTTATGAAAATAAAGTTGAATCTATAAAACACTGTCTAAACCACTGCCTAGGTATGCAGAAGGAAGAGACTAAATGTCTAGATTCCGTTTATTCACTAACCTAAGGTAAAGTTCACGCATCTCATTAATTTGATCCAGAAGACCAAATAGCTTGACAAAAATAACAAGAAGTTATATTAAAAAGTTAGAGTTGCTCGTTTCATCCTACAATGGTTGTATCCAACTGAAAGTGTTCAAAACTACATGGGTCCCTTCAATTTACTCTAACCTATTTGAATGCAATGAAGTCACAAAGTAGTGATAGTGTTAAATAGATCAACAATATTATGGATATTATGGACGGAATATTACGGAAGGAGTGATTATGTTTAATGGTGTATTAGTAGCCGACTAATATATACTTTATATAATAAAAAAAAAATATTCTGTACTGTAGATTTTAGCGTTACTAATGTAATAATCAATTGATCCAATATTCAAACATTGTCCTAGGTTCTTGAGTTACAGTAGTATTGCCATTAACACTGTTAAATGTTAAATTTAGTTGATAATTAGATATACTTTGGAACTGATGAGATTTATGACTGCGAAATCTAGCTTGAAGACACATATTTAAAAACTATTTAAATCGAACTATTGAACTAAAATATTTAAAACTATAATTATTTATTCAATTTTTAAAATTTTATTTCTATAAATTGCAAAATCAACAAAAGTTTAAAAACCTTTTACTATTGAAAATGATTATATATAAATATTACATAAAATTGAAGTCCCGCCTATTCTAAAGAATACACTACATTCTGTTTATTAAAATATGCATAAATTTAAAAATATAATTTATATATGTCTATATAGCATTAATATATATTTTATGCTATTAAATAAAAAATATTAAAATATTTGAAGTGAGCAAAAACTTACCTTTTGGTAACTTTAGTGAATCCATTTCTGTATGCTTAAAATCTATTTTTGGTTCCGAAGTAGATACACAAACACACAATTGGAATTGCGACTAGCGTGGTTTTCTTCGTTGTTATTGTTGCCTGGTACTTAGGTTCCTTTATTTATAAATTAGTGGTAAAGAGAGCAGATGCCGATCACATCTACACAATTCCGGAGGAGGTAAGCTACACGCAATTCTGACCTACTTCGTGAATAATATTTTATCGTGATGTATGCAAATATTAATATTGGTAGTATTATTGTTAATATTAATATTAAGTCAAGCAACAATTGTTGGTAATTCATGTAAATTGTTGTATGAAGAAGCAGTCAACCATCCAACAAATTAGTAAAGGTTCCATTATTTTCCAGTGATATAAATTGAAATTGAATATGAAAAGAAAAGAAATATATAAAAATATTAAATCTTTTTTTTATTTTATTTATTTTATTTTTTATTTTTTTTTTATTTATAGTATTTATGCTTTCAATTAAAAGTTTTAAAACTTTTTTTATTGTAAATTTGTTGCGAAACTATAAACTATAAATACCGTTTTATTGCTTTATGCAGCATTAATGTCACAATTCGTTAATATATTTAAATTGTACCTCATTCGCAGTGATTGTAATTGAATGTATATAATAAAAAAGAAATAAACATGAAGTTATTACGGTTATTAAAAGCGATTAAAAATAAAAATGTTATGCAGTCAAAATAACAGTTCAAAATCTGAAAGACTGGCAGCAGTAGTTACTACGGTAATAACTTAAAGACCAGCTATTAAATTTTTTCTACTTTTCCTTTTACTATACTAATGTAGTATTAATTGCTTATTAACCATTTTTTATACATATAATATACCAATTTAATAAAAACTGCTCAAGTGTTTCAAAAAGTTATATATACATATATAGAACTTTGAAAATTTTTTCTTCTGATTCTTTAAAGGTAATTACGTATAACTCAATTAAAACGATAGGACAAATTAAATTAAATAATTTAAATAACTTATTTAACTTATTTAAGATATTCTATATATAATTTTAATTATAGTCAACTATGATTTTTGAAGCAAGTTTCATATATGAAGAAGAAGAAGAAAAAGCATCGTCAAATCTGTTGCTAATAATTCAATAGATTTCTATACAGGCTGGAAAAAATCGTTCGGTGGGAATTTATATCCCTTGTTCTTCCAGTTTGTACAATCCACCACATTAAACTAATTTTTTAACAGTAGCCTTTAAGCTGTTAAAAAAATAATTCCATAATACAATCTCATTTTATTTCTAAAAGTCTTTCTTAATTATTAAATTTAATTAAGACTTATAAAATAAATATAAATTACCCATCACGTCACGAAAAAACCAATGTACACATCTCCTCAGATAAATAAAAAAAACGAGTATTCACAGATGATGGCGCATAATTAGATGGGTAACTAACATGGAAGAAATATGTCTTTGCTTTACAAAAATGTACTGGTTAATTAACAGAAACCCTCCTTAAAATAATTCTAAAACCCATATGGTTTTATGATTATCAATTAGGAGGATCAGCCAATCCAATTTAAATTTACAAATAAAAATTCTCCATATAATAACAAACGCTCCATGGTACCTTTCTAATAGGACACTTCACCGTGATGTTAACATGATGACAGCAGAAAAAGATGTCATCATTGGAGATATATATATGGTATATATTCTAAATATTCATTTATTATAGGTAAGGTAAAAGTATTGGATCTGTCATTTAAATGGCGACTATTGAAGATAATCCATTTCACCGTTCCAAGTATCAAAATTAAGATTCTTGTTAAAATTAAAAAATTATACATTATACAGTAGATCAAAAGCAATAACAATTTTGAATACAGTCTACATATAACTAAAGGTGTGTAAATAGAATTTGTCAAGTAACAACGACTGTAACAATGCTCAGTCACTTAACTTTAGATAGTCAACTGATTGGAAACTGATTGGTTGGAAGCCAACCTAAACAATCAAAGAAATAACAAATAGCTAAAAAATTTATGACATTTGTATTCTCGGATGCACAGAGCTCAAAACATCTACACAGTTAAAAGCTCTAGTACTAGTACTATAGTGTACCTGCAGTGCTTTCTTCTTAAATATGTAAATATATTATTTTCACTAAGAGAATCATTTTGGTACAAAAATATATTCATGTCACAAAACTCATGTTCTCTATTAAGTGCTCTATCTCTAACGAATCATCGAATCAGGAACGAATTATCCTCAATTAGCTAAGAAAGCCGTTTTGTTTTCACATTCGCAATTTAAGCCTGGTTCCAAACAAACGTAGACATGGATAAAACAGTTGCGCTGGTGTCTTTTACTTGAGCGCCGTTAGACATGTACTACAAGAGATACCGATCTATAGTCTAGTGTTCCGTTAGTACAGATATTACGCTAGATATTTCAAATTCTTCTATGTACCGAGTCGGAAGTTCAATACTTGGAGTAAAGGATCATTTAGCTCTTGTCCTGCCATCTGAGAAAGTATCAGCCCACTTCCTATTTGCCCATCGCGGTAAGGTATACATCAGTTTTACTTTTGGTTACAAACGTATATAAAAACCTTTCAACGACGTGTTTTTCTGGTCTTCAATATGTAAAAAGATTTACAAATAAAACAATGTTCCAATGCTTTTTAATATTTCATCGTCATGATTGGTGAAATACTCTTGCATTGAATATTGATTGCAATCATGGGGTTCAATATAATGAGCATTATAGAAATTATGGGTTATGTAGATAATATGGAGAAGTTATAAATTGAGTAATTAGACTCTGATTTCATAGAAAGACTGTATAAATGACAGAGATAATAGATTATGTAGATATTATATAGAATTTATAAGTTATAATTAGACGATTATTACAATTTTTTTCTACTATTTTTACTTGGACTCATAAAAAGACTATATAAAAGATAATAGATTACGTAGATAATATATAGAAGTTATAAGTTGTAATTAGACGATTGTTACAAACTTATTTTTGTTGATTTGTACGTTATTTCATAGAAAAACGATATAAATGACAGAGATTATAGATTATGTAGATATTATATAGAAGTTATAAGTTGTAATTACACTATTGTTACAAATTTTTTTTACTGTCTTTACTTGAATTAATAAAAACACTACACAAATAATAGAGATTATAGATTATATAGATATTATATAGAAGTTGTAAGACGTAATTGTATAAGCTCTCTTTTTTCCTTCACTCTTTAGTTCAGTTTATAAAAAACAATATAAAAAACAGAGATTATAGATCATGTAGAGTTTATGTAGAAGTTTTAAACTATAATGGGAGCCTTTTTTGCTAACTTTTTCCTTCGATTAGTAACAAAGCCATACATATGACAGGGATTGTATTTAGAAGGTTAAAATAAGTGCAAAAACCTAATAATTGCAACTTTAATACTTTACTTTGTAAGTAAACTAAAATTAACACATATTTTGAAAAATATGAAGGTCGAATATCGAAGCAGTGAAAACTGTAAAAATTATTGTATATTAGCAATAATTAATATGTAATTTAAAAATAATCTCAATGCTTTTAGCACATTTATTATCTGGAGAGTAAAACCAATTTAATAAAAAAAAAACTCTTTTTTGTGTACACTTATTTATATTAATTTTAACTTGAAAGGTAAAATATTTACTACAGAAAAAATATATCTGAATATCCTAGAGAATTCCTACTACAATAGCTTTTCCCAGTCTCCATTGCGCACCTACGTATTTAAACACAAATAAGAAGAAGAATAACAGAACTATATTAAAGCAATTCATGTGCATTAACATTTATGTTACAATAACTTTGCGTAAGTGCAAATAGTTGTGTGTGCACTTGTGCACTTTAATATAACAGCGAATAGCTAACAGCAGCATAATCGATACATAATTTTGCCCTACTATCGAGAGACAAACAGTACACTAACTAAAAAAGAAAAAAAACAACAACAGCAACAACAACAACGCATCAAAAATTTCGTATATTGTTTGAACAGCAGTTGCAGAAGTGGGAGGCATAAAAGTGTGCACGAGGCATGAAGCAAGTGTTGGTTTGTTTTTCTCATATTATTATATTCTTTGTTTTTATTTTATTTTACTGTATCTGTGTTTTCTGCTACTGCTGCTTGCTTACTGCTTTTCTGTTTGCTTAAATAGAAGGGGCACTTTTCATAAACGACAAAGATTACCTACCTACCTAGCTACCTCCTCTTCTCATATTAAATATTGAAGCGGGTGTACGAAACTGTAGCATAACAAAAGCCGAAAAAACAGACACTTCAGCAAAACCAAAATAACAAATCAAAGCAAATTTTCAAAAGTAGGCCATGCGCTTTTTCTTTTGCTCTCGTTTCGTTAATTGAAAAATACGAGAGAACTCAATTGCTGCTCTCATTGTGTTTGTAAATATTTCGGAATACGGAATAATCATCCGTGGCCGTAGCCGTAGCAGCAGCAGCAGTGGCAGCAATAGCAGTAAAGCAAAAAATAGACTATTTAAAATTGGGGAATCTCCTCATTGCTATGTTATAATAAAAGTTTTTAAGGTTGATTTTTTTTCTGCTCTTTTTTTTTTTTTGTAAAATATTAATTTGTGCAGATTGAATGTATGAAGAAGATTTAAAATGTAAATTTTTTCGTTAAAATTGCATTTTTGTATTCTATAAAATTAATATTTTTGTATGCTTGCAACAATGAATTATATAATTTATTTTAAACTATATATATTAACACATATGTATGTATATACATATAGAGATTATATTACATGTAGTTTTAATATATTAATTTATAATATTAAAAGATTTTGCTATATGTTAAATATATATATATTACTTTAGTATCTGTGTAGTTTTAATATATTAATTTATTTTATTTTTTTATTTAATTATAATTAATTACAAAATATAAAATATTATAACTAAGATAGGAAAAAAGAGCGTTAACTGCCAGGGCCCCTTCGACACGATTACTTTATTATATTGAAGCATTATACTATATGTTAATTGAAATTTTACTATATTTTTAGCTATTATTCTTTAAAATATTATGAAAAAATCTTCAATGATATGGTGTTGGGGCTATAGCTTAATGAAATTGTTCAAATATATATAGATATATATACATATATATATATCTTTTTATCAGTAATTTACATTACCTTTAAATTTATATTAACCCCTTAGTTACAGTCGCTGATTACTTTATAGACAGGCGTGTGTATTGTTAATACTTTATTTAATAACGTCAAAATTTATTTAAAGGTTGTAGCGCGTTTACGCCTCTCATAACAATAAATTAGGTTAGAACATAAAATGTATCTAATTCACCTGAACTATATTCAAGCATTTATTAAAGAAAACATTTTTAAATTTGTAGATATTATTATACCAATTCAAAAATGAAATTCAATGAAATTTATAAAAAAGCTAACCTTTAAATAATTATTTTATATATAACATAACATTTATGTTAAAATAATTATAGTTTTAAACACATATCATTCATGTTCATATATAATGTTTTTTGATATAAAATATATAAAATGAAACATATATAGTAAGAAAATACTTATAATTATAAATATGGAGATATTTAATTTCTAGCTCTATATAGTAAGTGCAAGAGAATCAAAAATGGATTTAGGCAGAGAAGTATTGTTTCAATAACTGAAAGGCAAAACTATATACTATACACAATTTTTATTTGCTAATATAGTGGTAGAGAAGCGGTCAGTCTTTATTTTTCAGTGTTGTAATATATTAATAATATATAAAATTTTTTTAATGTATTATAATTAAATATTAAAATAGGCTGAAGAAATTAATGGTTTTCAGAACGTAAAGCTATATAACTTTTTCAGTTTCTATGTAAAAGGTTATATTTGAGTATTTTGTTAAATTATTTTAATAATATTATATAAAAATTTTTTAAATATAAGTGAATCAAAAGTAGTAACAGGTATAAATGTATTGTTTTAAGAACTGAAAAACAATTATATATATGTTTTTCGATGTTAGATGCATCTATATCTTTAATTATTTAAATAATATATATAAGGTTAATAATGTAATTGAGTCAAATGTAGAAATAGGCATAAATGTTTTTTTGTTTATGAGAAGAAAGATAAAATTATAACATTTTCAGTCACAGATATGGCTTTAGATGTATCTGTATCTTTAAAATAAAGTTATTTTAAAGTTTTCTTTTTATGTAAATAATTAAATATAGATACAAACAAAACTAATAAAATGTTTTAAAAATTAAGAAAAAGAAACATACAATTTTACGTTACACGCAACTATATCTTTAATCCAAGAGTATTTTTTTTTTTTTGGTTTGTTGTTTTAGTAATATATACAACTTGTGTATTAAAACTGAACTAAATGTAGAAACATTCATTTTTCAAAAACTAAAAAATAAAAATATATAAAATTTCCAGTCACCTATATGCCGTTAAACGGGCCTATATCTTTAAATTGAAAGTTTAATGTAGAAATGTAGAAAATATAGAAACAGTCTTTAAAGTATTGTTTTAAAAGTTAAAAGACAAATATGTATATAACTTTTTTGAACGCCGATATAGTGATAGGCGCATCTATATCTTCACTCTTTAAATCAAAAGTTATATGCATATCTTCTGTCATCCTCAACTCCCAGTGGAGCATAGTTCCTGATGCATATAATTATGCATATAACTTCTTTAATTTATATGTAACCGAGTGGGGGTTTTTTTGATCAATGAAACACTATGAATCCTCTCAATGTATATATTTGGGGGTATTCACCGAGATAATATATAGAATTCGTTAAAATACACATTTTAATATAGTAATAATTGTATTTTAATATATACATTTAAATATTTATAATATTTAAAAGAATTTTTGAAGTATTTGTGATAATGTATAATGATAATGTCCACAATATATTATCAAAAGTGAACAATTTCTAAATATGTAGATTATAAATTCTTATTGTAAATTCACAAGCTAATCGCTTTAAAAATTTTTTTTTATAAATTCTGCTATATTATCAGTTTTGTAATTACATTTTTATTTATAGAACTAACAGTTACCCTCCACAAATTACTAGCCTGTAACTAGTCTGTTTTTTGTAAAAAAAAAGTTCTATATTTACCTTTTGTTATTTCCTTTGTACGAATCTATAGATTTAAATTAACCTAATTTGTTGATGTTTGTAGTTTGTTTGTTTTTCTTCAATTTTTCTGTTTTCGACTGTAGAGAATACATCCACTTTTTGTTAAGCTTTTTCAACTTTATACGTAATCACCATCTCTGATTTGGCTCTTAACTTATTGCATATTCGCTTATTTAAAGACTATACTTCAGGTGAATTCTTTTACGCCTTCCGGGGTGCTACACAGTCTTACAGCTTTAAACTGCACGGCAAACACATTTTTTTTTTGTTGGTTATTTTAATTATTACTGCAATTTTACTAGCTAAAATTTAATAGCAATTTTTTCAAACACCTTTAAGAATTAAATTCCTAAATATATGCGTTTTACTTTTATAAAACTTAAAAAAAACGTTCCAACAACTAAAATTCTACCAACATTTTATGAGTGAAAAAATTAAAAATTGGTTACTAGGTGACATAATATTTATATTGCACAGGTTACTTTGAATTTGTTTCGTTTATTGTTTGATAATTCTTTGTTAATGAGTTTTAGATTAATTTTATATCTATGTTCAAGTATTTTTTATTAATTGTAGAAATGTCAAATGTATTAATTTTGCGTAGCCCCGTCGTTATGCATTAAAATTTTCACCCGAACTGTGCGCTCTATAGGAAAAATCAATCTTTTTACAGAATTTTCTCCTATTCGTTTTTTGACTGCAATTCCGATTAGATATGTTTAAAAAGCAAAGAGGAATATTTCGTGAGAGTAAAATAGGGTTGCTGACATGCATGCCAAATATTTACTCTCTATGTATGTACTTAGCTTAACATTTTTATATTCAACAATATGCATTATGTATTATTATAATACATTAAAATTATGTTTTCTTATCATATAAATAATTGTAATAATTTATAACTATAAATAATATTAAAAAGTTTACAACTGTACATAATATAATTAAATTAAAAGAATTATTACTTATTAAGTAAACATACAAAATATTTTTTTTCCAAAATGCAACACTGCCCCAACTCTTAAATTTTATTTTGACATTTCTGCTATGAACTTTTTTTATTTTAAGCTCAAGTAAAAAAAAAATTATATGAATAAAATTAAAAAGTAAAAATTTTTAAATTAACAAATTGATGAGATATAACACAAACACTACACTTTAATTGAAATATGATTATAAATTTTTTGAATGTCATTGCCTTGTTTGAACTCACCATTTATTAAAACACTTTATATGGCGAGATTTGAAAACGCAATTAAGTGATTACGTTGAACATTACATGTTTAAAATCACACTAATTTATATATTATTACTTAATAATTGATTATAATGCAAAAATTAGCACTTTAAATTTATTTTAAAATAAATTTTTCAATATTTTTAACACACTATTATTTAAAGTAAACCAATTGATGTTTACTCTGAACAACAAATAAAAATAATTTCACATATTGACAGTTGAAAGTATCTGAAAACTCAGAAACAGTGTTGTTACACGAATATTTTGAAAAATCTTGAGATAACTAGTGTACTAGTGTTATCTCTATTAAATTAAAGCCATTCAAAAAGTGCTTTTGCGTAAATTAGTGATCAACTTAAAAACACAACAAATTGTAAAGGAAAGAGTAAATAAACAAACATTTTATTCAACATAAAATAAATTTAAAAATTTTATTCAAGATTGATTTGAGCCTCTCAACGGTTTGTTAAAAAATTGCTATATATCATAATCACACAACATTTAAATAAATTTTGTTGCTAATAGACCTTATAAACTGAATAATTAATTGCAATTAAAATTATTTATTTTAATTGTAAGATGAATGGCAATAAAAGCCATGAAATTGTTGGTGTACAATTATTGTAGTACTTAATTCATTGCTATCAAAAATCAAAGTAATATTTTTTTACGCTAAAAATATATTATGAAATAATTAAAAAATATAATATGTTTTAAAATTTGGCACAAAAGTTATTATTTGTTTGTGTCATATACTATATATATATATTACAGTGTAATTGGTTAATGCAATATATGCAACTAAGAGAAATAAAAACAGAACTATTGTTTTTCTATTATAATTAATCAATATTTACTTCAATAGTTCCACTTATCGCAAGTAGTCAATATTATCTTGAATGATGTACTGACTTTCACTTTGACTTATACCGGATTCACACGAATTTTGTTTGCAATTTTAGTTGTCAAAAATGTTAAAATTGCATTGTAAGCAATAACAAACAAAACTGTTGTGTGAATTCAGTATTTCGCAGAAACGTAATAATAAATACATGAAATTTGAGATTTGCTTTATTAAACTATTTTCAAGCTAACGTGGTGTTTACACAATCAACTGAGTAACTACCATATGTATATATTTTTCGCAAAAATAGTGTTAAGGAAAGTTATTTCGATTTATTATAATAAATGAAATATCTATTATATTTCGATCATTCAAATATCCAATAATTGCAATTGAATTGTAATCTGTACGAAATCAAATTGAAATTAAATTTGTAATAATTCTCATAAACTCAATCAACACAAGGTAAAATATTAATACAAATTCTAGCATTTTAATTAATGAGAACAATTACAAAAATAAAAGTGAAAACAAAATTAAGATTAAATTAAGAATAAAATCACAATAAGAATTAAGATAAATTGTGTTGTATGAATAAGCTATTAAACTGTTTACATTACAGAGAAAGAAACGTCATTAACCATATAAAACAATTATATTCAAATATGTTCTGTATTAACATAACAAAATTGAATAAACAGTCATTTTCGTATTTTTGAAAAGTTTATGTACTGATTTGTTATAAAGTTGAATGTTACACCATAAATAGTTAGATAATATAGTTATCTATGCTAATGTAAACAAATAAAATTGTGCAATAATTTTATCTATTAAATTTTAAATAAAATATTAATAATTTCGTTTTTGAAGGTTAATAATAGTATAATTCATTAACTTATTCATTTCATTTGTTATTCCGAATATAAAAATATTTTGGTTCAAATTCTACAAAATATTTTTAAAGTTATATATTCGGGAATACTAAAACAGTAGCGCACTTTAATTTTAAAACTTATTAAGGTACTCACGAAAACTCGTAAATAACTTGTAAACTTTGAGAAGTGCTTAATTGTAAGCAACGTATAACAGCTGACTGTGAACTTCTTCAGCTGGAACAGGGAATTTTATTTATTTTAATAATTAAACTTAATAAATTTTCTATATAAACAATTTTTTTTCCATTTTCTTTTAGCATTATTTTTATTTACTTTACTATATACGACCACTAATTGATTTAAGAAGTTTACGAAGTTTATGTAGTAACGAGTTTTCGCGATTGCCCTTATTATTATTTTTCTCCTTATTATATGCATATAACAGAGTAAACGAATTGTAGCAACTAAATATGCGAATAAATTTAGAGTTAGTGAGTATATATATCTAAAGGCTAATTTAGTACCTACCATGTTATTGATATTATATGTATATATTATTAAATAAGAAGGAAATCATCAATTCATACCATAATAAGTAAAACTTTGAGTACAAAACTGATTTTAATGAGAGTGTAACAGAATTTTTAGAATTAAACTTAAAATTTAAGTGTTTACATCCAAATGTTTAAAACTTAAGCATTAACGAACTATCAAACAAAAATGAAAGCAAAAAAACTATTTTTTTTTGGTATGAACTGAATTAATAAATATATACAATAAAAATAGTATATTTTTAAATTTGTATTCTTTTTGCTTATCAAAATTTGCAACCATCATTGACCCGTAGGGGTTTTTAAAGGCAGCGTTTATTTAATCAACAGGGTTAAAAATTAGTATGCGTTTACCTCGCACATCTTTGCATAGGTTTTGTGTGGATTTTGTATGACAAATTTCACTAAACCCAAGCGCATATCGAGATTAACCAGAAAATAAGCTAAGTACGATAATCCAAACATAATATAACAAATCTAGAGCAAATGAAATTAATATAAATAGACTAATTAAAAATCAAATGTCTTATAGGATAAGTATTTTACTAAAAATCTTTGTTATTTCATTAGAATTTTTGTATATTTCAAAATTATGTTTTATTTACGAGTCTAAAACAAAACAACTAATTAAATATATCAACGCGCACTCAATTAAAAACAAATAATATACCATAAAATTCTAGAAATCATTGCATGCTGGGTGAGACACAATAAAAAAGATTAAAAATTAACATATGTGATGTGATGTTTACTTGCGTGCGACGTCATAAACAAGTTTACTTCGTCTTGAGATTTGTTATTTTTGAAACGAGCTTAAGTAACTTCATTGTCTGGCTTTGAGAGAATGTTCAGTCTGTAAACAACTTTAGATCTTTGCAGTTGTTAACTATTGATCGCTTCGACATGGACTTATTTATATTCAGATCGTTTATATTTATTTATGTTGCATTTTCCATATTTAATGCATGTGCGGCCTACGATGTTCCGAAGGCGAGAGTAATTGTTTTTGAACGTAAAGGTTTCGAAGTGTCTATACCAGATGAAGAAGGTATTTCATTGTTTGCTTTTCATGGCAAACTAAATGAAGAAATGGATGGACTAGAAGCTGGTACTTGGGCTAGAGATATTGTTAAAGCGAAAAATGGACGTTGGACATTTACTGATCGTGTAACGGAGTTAAAAATAGGTGATACACTTTACTATTGGACATATGTTATATACAACGGTTTAGGATACAGAGAAGACGATGGAGTATATGTAGTCACTGGCTTCAACACTACTCAAACGTCACCAATTACAACAACTTCGAAACCTCCAGTAATCACAACTAAAACCACAACAACTGTCACTTCAACTTCAGCCAATTGTAAGCAATCTCAAACTAAGATAAATGGTAATCAAGTTGTAGAGTGTGCGGATCAATTATTGTTTGAAGACGAGTTCAATAACTTAAATACAGATAAATGGAAATTAGAGAATCGTTTTGCCTCAAGTCCTGACTATGAATTTGTGATGTACGTTAATGATGTACCAGAAATAATTCAATTTGAGAATAGTGTAATGCATATCAAACCCAAAGCTACAGCGAAACTCGTTCAACAGGAAAATCCATTAAAATTTAACTTAAATTTTGGTGAACGTTGCACGGGTTTGCTCAATTCAGAGGAATGCGTAAAAGAAGCTAAACAGTCACCTTTAGTGTTCATACCGCCTTTCGTGTCCGCACAATTATCTACGATGAATTCATTTTCTTTTAAATATGGACGTGTGGAAATACGCGCCAAGTTACCACAAGCAGAATGGGTTATTCCGGAGTTGTGGTTACAGCCTGTCACATATGCATATGGTGCAACAAATTATCAGTCAGGACAGGTACGCATTGCATTTAGTCGTACAAATGGCACTTTAACTGATTTATATGGTGGCGTTATCTTAAATTCTGAAGAACAGTGGCGTTATAAAAAGTTGTGCCATTTACCTGCAACAACTGATAAGAACTGGTGCGATGATTATCATGTCTTCACATTAATTTGGACTGAGATGTATTTGGCATTCGCGGTGGATAACGAAGAATATTGTCGCATTCATACCTTACGTGACTTAAATACCTTGCCGAATCATGGACAATTAAGTACTGGTACTAAATTGGCACCTTTTGATCAGGAATTTATATTGACTCTGGGTTATGGTGTTGGTGGTCACGGAGATTTTTCGGATAACGAAAAATGGATAACGCCAAAACCATGGGAAAACACCGATCCACGCGCCATACCAAATTTTGTGGATTACTTAAACCACAAACATGGAGATTGGCTAGAAAATGGGCGTTTAAGTATTGACAGCGTTAAGATTTATTCAGTTTGAAGATATTTTCGTGAAATTCCAATCCATTCATATTACAATTACTGCATTTATATAAACTATAAATAATACTTTAAGTATCGTAGTTATTCTGGTTTGAGTATTTAATTATTTCTTAGTATATAGTATATATATAGTATAGTATTATATATTAAATAATTATATATTAAAAGTCAAGTTTGCTGTTGATGCCTTCAACTTTAAGATAAATAAGTTTATTCACGCTACTCAATCGAGATCTATGTTGAGAAAAATGTTTCATGAAAATTAACAATAAAAAAATTTAATTTTTTAATGTTTGCACTTTTTATTATACGTAAAATTCAAATATATTTTATTATTAAATTTGCACGCTTAAGTGCTTTATGTGAAATCTTGATGAATCATTCCCATTGAATATTTGTTATTCAATGAGATAAAAAAACTTAATTCTGGCAGTTAATGATTTAAGGAGCATTTTTGCATTTTCAGTATTATTGAACTGCAGTTCATAATCAGAAAGGATTGGAACTCACTTCGGTCTGGGACCCGTTATTGTATCCTTTCTTGGTAAGTGGTATTGTGAGCCTAATATGCACAATTTAATATTGTTCTTACCTAGGTATCTATTGTTAGAAACTGTAGCAGAATGTTAACGACCAGAAAACGTAAATAGATTACGAGATTTCAAAAGAGGGGAGTCTATATATAACTAGAACTATTATTTAATAAATGTGAGATATGTAGTGATGTGTAGAATTCACTTCTAACTCTACTGATATCTTCAGCCGGGTTAGAATTAATCTATCCTGAATCTAGGTACTCACAATATTACCAGGTAAAAACACATAAATAGGTTACAAGACTTCAAAAGAGTGGAATCTGTATATAAACAGAATTGTTTTTTAACAAATGTGGTAAAGAGTAAAATATAGTGCATGGGTACAACAAATGTTGAAGATTAACTCTCAATTGATTGATTCTAGGGTATAATAAACTTATATCATGTACAACGATTAAAAATTCAATTGATTGAATTTTTCGATTATTCCTCTATTTAACTGAAACCAAAGGAAATTCTAACAATTTTTAATATACTTACGGGTATTCATGTAATATACTTATATACTTAAATTGCGTATAGCTCAAACAGAAAAATTGAGATGTGCCTACAACAAAATACATGCATGGTATTTATTCGAGGTAAATTTATGCTAGTCATTCTAGGTGAATTTAGAATGAAAGCCATCCAAGTACCACAGATGGTAATCTCCAGCGAATGAAGTTATGTTCCTTTCCGTCATGATACAATAATAATAATTCATTATTAATTCCTTTGGGGGCTGCTTCAGCTGTCATTTCTGGCTTCTTGGTATTACAGTATAGTTATGAAAGCAGACGAGTCTTCCTTTAAAGACTGTTCGTCACTACTAACGATTAAGTGTTGATGAAGGACCTGAAGGATTTCAAAAGTAAGTATGTTTTGTTTTATATTTTGCGTCCCTATATGTTAATTCTTATAACACAATACTTATAAAGCAGTTTGTTCTTTTGTTCTTGTGGAAGCCTTGTGTATTCTTCTATGTTAGAAAATTGCTATTAAAAATCGTTTCTAACTTCTAATATATATAAGTGGATTTCATATTCACAGTAGCATTTCATTTATAAAAGATGATATATATACTGAACTAAATGCTAAAATATGCCCCTAATTGGAATAGCATTTATAATCATCCGACTTAAATATTGCTTAGAAGATATGATATACAGGTAAAAGGTGGAGTTGATATCTGGTATTCGAAAGTTTAGTCTTGCAATATAATTATTGTACAATTTTGAATTTAGTTTATAGTAAGAATGAATAATTAATTTTGAAATAAAATCAAAAATATTAAAAATAATAGATACAAAAAAAGATATATAAATATATTTCTTTCTAATTTTCTATATATTTCTATATTTCTTTTTGGTAAACCGAGAAAAGATGGTACAACCACCACAATAAAAAAATTATTTTTTAAAAAATTCATTGAATTATATTAAATTATTTTCCTTTTCTTAATATTTAGAAAAATTTTTAAAAAAAAATATATAAATTAAAATGATTGAATCTGTTTATAAAATATGTTTATAATATGTTTATAAAATATTTATATTGATTTACTAATAGAGCAGTTACTAATGTTTTTTTTGCATTAATTTTGTTTTCTACTCTATTTTTATTTACGATCTATCTAAAGGCATTTAAAAAATTATAGTATCATCTTCTGATAACACTATAATTTATTTACTTTCCGAAGATTTGTAATTAGAGATTTGTTTACCTCTCTCAATAATCTTACAAAAGTTCGCTTCTAGAAATCTTAGAAATTACACTAATATTCAGGTGTCAGCTAATAAACTACTTGTATCTATTATAGCATAAGTTATCTCTTTTCCTCAGTTGTTCAATGAGAGACTATTTATCTCACTAAATAATCTCTACTGCTAAAACAATAAATGCGCTTAGAAATCTTATAAATTAATCCAACGTTGAGGTGGGAATATTAGTACGCGTACAAATCTGATTTAGAGATGAACTTCAAACAAAAATCATTTAGTGCTTCACTAATTACTTGTCTAATAATAAGTAGTTGTTTGGCAGTCGAGTATAAGGTGCCAAAGGCTACAATTAAAGTTTTTCATCCGAAAGGATTTGAAGTATCAATACCACATGACAGAGGTGTTACACTCTTCGCATTCCATGGAAAATTAAATGAAGAAATGGATGGTTTAGAGGCAGGCACATGGTCTGTAGACATACGCAAAAAACAAAATGGATATTGGACCTATAAAAATACCGATGCTGAACTAAAAATAGGTGATACACTATATTATTGGACATTTGTAATACGCAATGAGTTAGGCTATCGTGAGGATAATGGAGAGTTTAAAGTTGAAGCCTACGATAATTAATATTTTATAGTGATTTATGTTAAAATAATTGT